GGAAGCCATTTTACGGAACAATGGATGCGCGTTAACACGGCGTGGCCTTGAGGGATGAAACTGCCGCGGCTAGGTCAAGCGTCGTCTCTCCTCCCTCCCTCCCTCCCCGGGGTAGTCACGTCATAATACTTTAAGCCAATTACAGCTAGCAGCAGAGGGGGGTAGGGCTGCATGGCCAATCACAGTCCGAGACGTCATATGACGTCAGTGATAACGCAACAAAGACACACACTGCGCAACCTTACCGCGCCGCTTGCCCAAGCGGAGGGAGGAGGAGGGAGAGGCAGGCAGGCAGGCAGGAGGGCGGGCGGGCGGGTGGCGCGTGGTCAAAATCTAAAAATAGCATCCGAGCCGGACACTCACCGCGTTGCTGTGGAAAAATGCGCGTTAAGTGAAAGTTCAGCTTTGGCAAGGCACCGCGTATATGCGAAAACGCGTTAAGTGAAAGCGCGTTAAGCGGGGTAATACTGTATACAGTATATTTAACAGAAAATTACTACCTGTACAGTCCTTTAAAAAAAAAGAAAATTAAACACTAAATGAAAAGCAAATGAAATTTTAATGTTTACCAGGCTAAACAGCAGATGGGCTGTCAGGATTATCATCTTTATCACCGACAGTGACATGAATGCTTGTTAGCAGGTGCAAGCAAGACCCAACAGCTGATTCTGGAGTACAGCGCTATCAAAACATAAACGGCGCGTCCAGAAAACAATGGTGCGCCAAGGCAGGAAATTTTAAAATGCGCTCCGAAATCCATGCCGGAAAACTGAAGGTTCCGGTTAATCGATTGGCGGATTTTTGATGGTCAACCTGTATTTTGATATAAATTGAATTTTTTTAATTGGATTTTTAATATATTTATTTGTTTGTTTTTTCATCATTTACTGGTGCAGTACTATATGAAAATATGATATTTACTCCATCTAAGGTTTATTGAGGGTTAAATGAAAGAAATTTTGGGTATTGTTATGCTGAGGCATAACTTGGTACAGGGGTATTATAAATTTTAGACTAGGTATTTTGTATTATTTTCTATCCCAAGCAGCAGTTATTTGGGCAAGTTTAGGGAGATTTCTTGTGTACTGTAAATTGATGTACTACTTAGGTAAGAATTTTCTAGAATGTGTTGCAGCATTTTTATTACGATTTACTTCCTATTGTAATCCTCGATCAGAGTAGAACATACTAGAACTTCGCAGACCTGTCTGGATTGGGCTAGGGTGTTCTAGGATCATCTGATGAGGTATATAAGTGGCAGCAAGTGGCCTGGAGTCAGTCGACCATTTCTGCTCTGAGTGTGAAGTACAAGCCAAGTGGGATAACTGAAGATAATTATTGTGCAAGTACTGTACAGTGTATTGTGGAATTGTTGTGAGTGATATAAAGTGGAAAGACTAAGGAATTGTGTGGAGTCCAGTGGTAAAGACATACACTGTGAACAGTTTTGTAAAGACTTAGTGATTATGAAAGAAGACTTCAGTGCACAAGTGTGTTTCTGTGACCTGGTGGAAATCTACCTGCCTGGTGTTTTGCCTGTACGCTGATACCGATTGTCGGGAAATTACCGGAGACTGGCGGGACAGCTAGTGGTAATTCAACGACACTTGTGATATATTGACTGCTGTACATATGAGCTGACAGCTGGTAACCAGCAGTGGAAGCTGGGTAAGCAGCAAAAGGGATGGTCATAACAGTATCATACATTTTAAGACCGGTATCCATGTAACTTAACATAAAACTAATAAATTACTATATAACACTTGATTACAGCCTACTAATATTTTAATTAGGTAAAGATATAATTTGCCAAAGGAACTTTAAATAAATTCTGTATGATCAAACTTGACTCTGCCTCAAATTTATGTGAAGAAATAATTGTCATTTTAATTTGTTGGTAAGATGAACAAAAAACAAGCCTAATACAGTAACAGTCATTCAAAGTGATTTACATGTAAAATTTTCTTTGGATAATAAATCATTTGAATGAGAAACAAAATTTGACAGAAATCAATAAATGTATGAATTGGTTTTGGTGATAATACTGTACTGTATTGGATGATAATTTGTTATTTATCTCTTAATTAAGCTTAATACTCAGTAACATTCTCACTTTGTTCACGAAAACAACTACAGTATAGTCTGGGTTTATGCGCCTAATTAAACTCATGGAGGTCCGCGTATAAAGCGAAACGCGTAAATAAAATAACAGAACATATGGGATTATTGAAATAGAGACTGGGCCGACCCCCAGACTACCCTTTTTTGGGCTATCGCCGACACAATACGTACGTTGTAGTAAAAATAACATCTTAATTTTATGATGGTATGCACACACAATTAATATTTAAGAGAAACATCAATAATATTAGGTTTTTTAACACTTACGTTAGTAGAAAAGATGGCTGGGCACACGGGGATGGGGGGGTTGGTTCCGAGGCAGAGGGCAGATTATTGACCCTCACCTGTATCACCTGTATCTCAATCCACCACAGAGGTAGCAGGGCCTCCTTGACAAACTCCCCAAAATTCATATCCTCACTATCACTATCACTAACTTGGGCTGGCTCGATTCATTCACTCCATATTGTCTGGCCAGATCCACCTGCCTCGTGCCTTTTTCTAACTCCTGAACGATCTTGTACTTAACCTCATAGCTTAAGGTACCTTCTTGGGCTTGGGCGTTCAAGGTTTCTCAGGGGTGGTGGGGGTCCAGCGGTAGCCATTGTGTAGAAACAAAAAAATAAAACAAGTTCCTGGGCACGAGTGAGTATACGCGGGGACAATGAGACTGGCGCGGCCAAGGTCATCAGCCTAGTGGCAGGGGCACGCAAGATTAAATAGACCAATCACAGAGCGCGGCAGAGGGGGTGTGTGGGTGGTAAGGATACGTGGCCCAATCACAGTCCGCAACGTCATCGGCATGAGTCTGACGTCAGCGCCCAGCACCTTGCCCGCCGCTTCCCACATAAATTAAGGAATGTACCGAGTAACTAATAATTGTCGCGTCTGGACAGGTGCTTCGTAAATGGCCAATTGCGTATAAAATATCCTTGTAAACCCAGACTATACTGTATATTTAATTTGACAATTTGTTGAAATGCTTTTGTATAGTGACGAGTACAGTACAGTGCAGTACAGTATACAGTATATGTGAAATGACGTACAGTATATCGTTGCAACATATAATGAGGACCCCCTTCTGCCTCTCTTAGGGTATGGTTGATGTGTTGGCATCAGCTTCTACACCTTAATCAAACAAATTCACGCCCTAGGGTCGGCCATCCTCATACATGAGGGGCAACCATTAGTGCATTGTTAAACTACCACAAAAAATCTCAGGTTGCTGATCAGACATTCTGCCTCATTTACACACAATTGCAGGGTCTCAATTGTTTCTCTTACTCAGACAACACAACATATACAGTAAAACCCTGCTTTACGCGGTTTCACTTTACTCGTTTCCACGTTTACGCTGTACCCTGCCGAACATGGAATGCTCACTTTACGCGGTGCATGTACTCTTTTACGCGGAGAGCGGCGTAGGCAGGGTGCGCACAAGGTCGCCCAGTCATCAAAACATTACCGAATTCTTCACCCGCCACCCACCACAGCCGGCCCAAGTCAGTGATAGTGATAATGATAGTGAGGATATGGACTTGTATGGACTTTGAGGGGTTTGACAAAGAGGCCCTGCAAGCCTCTGTGGTGGATAGTGATACAATTGATACAGGTGAGGGCCAATAATCTGCCCTCTGCCTCGGAATCAACCCCCCATCCCCGTGTGCCCAGCCATCTTTTCTACTAATGTAAGTGTTAAAAAACCTAATATTATTGATATTTCTCTTAATTATTAATTGTGTGTGTATACCATCATAAAATTAAGATGTTATTTTTACTACAACGTAGGTATTGTGTCTGAAAAAGTGGAGTTTCGGGGTTGGCCCAGTCTCTATTTCAATTAATCCCATATGTTATGTTCTTCACTTTACGCGTTTCTCGCTTTACGCGGGCCACCATAGGTTCAATTGACCGCGTAAAGTGAGGGTTCACTGTATAATGTATATAATTTCTCAATCTTGATTTATTTTTTAAATTTTGTATTTTTTTATGGTTATTTTTATTAGTTTTATTATTTTATTTGTACAGTATTAATTTTCTATTAATTTTATTAATTATTGCAATATTAATAATAATAATAGATATTATTATTATTATTATTATTATTATTATTATTATAATTATTATTTATTATTATATTTTCACCCCAGGCCCTGATGTGGGTCATTACCTGTGGCCAGGTGGGCTAATGCCCGTAAAAAAAAAAAAAAAAAAAACTGAGTATGCTCTCACTGTGCAGTAGTTAGGAATATAATGTATACAGTACATGGATTATTACTACAGTTGTGATGCTCTTGTTGGTGGCGGGAGATGATTAATCATTAAAAAGAAGCCATTAAAGAGCATTACTAGTGTAAGGAACACCATCATATGACTCAAGGGAAGTATTGTACTGTACTGGAGTTGCCAGTACCAACTCATTTTTATTCCCCTTATGTGGGCATATACAGTACAGTACCTGTACAGTACAATACCAAGATGGTTCCACTCCAGTATTTTTTATCCTTTATGACCACTTGATCAAAAGTCATCTTATGATAAGACTTTTTTTTCCAATGAAAAGTAACCAATAGAAATCAATTCTAAACATTAGATTCGTGAGATAAAGAAGGAAAAACAAAAAGCCTCTCAGCCTCACCCTAAAACTTTATGAATTGTATAGACTGTTAAGAGTGGATCAAACTTTCTTGTCAATACCTGTACAGTATTTAACTTTGTCTCAGTTACTGTATAGCTCTAATATGATACAGCACCTTCCCCTGAAATGATCATCACAATTATGAAGCAAGTGACACCACACAAAGATGATCAGGTTATTGCACATCATTCATATCATGTTAAATTATACTAACTATGGATACTGTATACTGTATTCACAGGTTGTGAGGTGACGGCATTTGTTCGAGATCCAGAGAAATTACCAGAGTCAATAGCTTCACAAGTGACGGTCAAAGTGGGAGATGTTTTGGATGCTTCAGCAGTGGACGAGGCTGTTAGTGGACAAGATGGAGTTGTTATTCTCCTTGGAACCCGAAATAACTTGAGTAAGTTTGACTAACATATAAGTTTCAGTTTGGTATTGGCTAAAGTTAGTGGGAGTAAAAGGTGGAGCAATACTACACATATAAGGAGAGAGCAAGGGAAGGATAAGGGAACTAGAGAGGGCAAATGAGACAGTGGAGAGGAGATAATGCCAGTGTGATCACCCTGTATGGCATGAGGCCTCAGCAGGTTTATTATTGGTACGGTACAGTATGTCTTTTACCTGAAGAGAATTGTTATCAGTTTTGTTTAGTATTTAGGCTCATTCATCCCTCAAAAAGATTCTTGTGATTAATTGACTACCCTGTATAACATTCTTTTTTCCAGATTCATAGCATCATGATTAACTTCCCAAAGTACATGTTTGGCCTTTCATTTCAGTGTGTACCCATTTGTTATTTACTGAAAACCCTAACCTTCACAGCACCATCCCATCTGACCCTTATTATTATTAACATAGATCTTCCTTTAAAGTTGTCACTCTCCTTGAAGATGTTTTTAACACAGATGATCTTTAACTGTTTGCTAGAGGTGGCCTTCTCTTTTTTTAAAGGTCTTTATGTAATATTACTTAGCATGTTGATAGCTAAGTATATAACATAGTGGTAGAATACACTTTGCTACATGGTGTAAGTGGTAGAATACACATTGCTACTTTTTTTTTTTTTTACGGGGATTAGCCCACCCGGACACAGGTCACTGACCCACATTGGGGCTTGGGGGGGTAATAATAATAATACGGTAATAATAATAATAATAATAATAATAATAATAATAATAATAATAATAATAATAATATAATAAATAAAATTTATGATAAAAAAACAAAAATAAAATAATGATAATAATATAGTAACTGTAATAATAATAATAATTTTAATAATTAAGAACTATAAATACAAAAATGAAAAAAAAGATCAAAAGTGAGAAACGATATATGTACAGTATGTTGTGTTGTCAATAGTAAGAGAAACAATTGAGACCCTGCAATTGTGTGTAAATGAAGCAGAAAGTCAGATCAGCAACCTGGGACTTGGTCACAATTTTTGTGATGCCATATGGCAGCAGGGTCTACCATTAGACAACACATTATGCTTCCAATATCTTCCCAGGTGGTAGTACCTCCCTGTTTGGTAGCTGCCTACTACCTACATGGTGTAAGTGGTAGAATACACTTTGCTACATGGTGTAAGTAGTAGAATACACTTTGCTACATGGTGTAAGTGGTAGAATACACTTTGCTACATGGTGTAAGTAGTAGAATACACTTTGCTACATGGTGTAAGTGGTAGAATACACTTTGCTACATGGTGTAAAAATTAACGGATAGAAAAGAATAACATACAGCAGTTAGTTCCTTCAGTCGTGTACAGAAATTTATCAATGACATTTTTTTCCTCTAGGTGCAACAACTTTGATGTCTGAGGGAACTAAAAATATCCTCGCTGCCATGGATGAGCACGGTGTGAAGCGAGTGTCAGGTTGTCTGTCTGGTAAGTTAGTTCCTTCCAGAGTGTGAAGTTTTGTGTAGGGTATAATCATACAACTGGACATTTGATTATTGGCATTATACACAGTAGGCTTGATGGAGTGTTCTATGTATGCTTAACTTTTCTTTTCAGGGATTCATATTACTGATTTCATGTGTAAGGTAAAGTTATGTAGAAATTCATCAAGATTTTTTATACTGTGTTTCATTTTGATTTATATAGCTTATATGTATAAATTTTTTCTCACTTCAGCATTCAACTTCTGGGAGAGAAGCAAGGTTCCTGAAAGGTTTCTTCCTATACTTGAAGATCATGAGCGCATGCTTACAGCCCTCAAAGCCAGTAATCAGGAATGGATTGCAGTTTTGCCACCACACATTACTGGTAAACCCTGTAATTCCTTGTGATAAGATTTTAATGGTATTCCTTTATCAACATCAGTATAGTATCTGTTATGAAAGTAGTGACTAACCACATAACTCTATATTGATTTGCATACAGTATAGGGAGCTAGCACAAAAAAAAAATAATGCTGTATTCTACAGTGTAGCAAGTCCCGTTGAACGATAATTCTTTGAATGAATCCCCACTAAAGAAAGCAAGTTTTTACTACCCATTTCCCGATTAACGAAAGAATCTTCCACTATTACGAAACATATATCAAAGTACACTACAGTATAGTAAACCCTCGATAATTCGGAATTTGATAACTCGGAATTTCATATAACTAGGCATGGTTATCGTCTCAGAATGTATTAGTATAACTAGGGAAATGTCGAGCTATGTTAAATTATCTGGGAAAATCTCAGCATATCTGGCCACCTGCATCACCTACCATGCCTCTGTGTCACCTACCATGCCTCTGTGTCACATACCATATCTGTGTCACCTACTATGATGCTTCAATCTTTGCCAGCAGTGCTGGTAAGTGTTACTTTTTTACATTTAGTAATTACATGTACAAACATATATAGGTCGATAATTTTTTAGTGTATTTTTGAAGGAGGGGTGGGGGGAAGTGCCTCGATAACTCGGCAAGGCCAGAGCCCCATATGTGCCTAGTTATTGAGGGTTTACTGAACTTCTTTGCTGTCACTTGGAATCGAGTATGACAATTATCCAGTGATGATAAAATGATACGAGTTATTAAGGATGTCTCCTTCGTTGTTGAGCTCTGAGGTGACTAGAGAGGCTCATACGGGACCGGTAGGGTCATTCACAGATGTTGCACATGTGGAGGCTACATCTATAGCGGGAGGGGCGGCGGCAGCATCTTTCTGGCGTTGGTGCTTATCTGCCTCTGTTTGCAGTCGGCTAAAACGAAAGTATTGACACCTTCTCGTGTGGTGCTCCTCCAAGTGTTACAGTGTGGAGAGATTTTGTCCCAGGTGAGGGGGTCGATTTGGCACTTTTTCAGGTTTGTTTTAATAATATGCGCCGGTTAACGTCTTAGATACGTTCTTGGAAAAATTACGTTAACCGAAATGGACGTTGTCCGATCATCATAGAAACTTTGTATTTATACTTACGTGTATGTGGAATACTATATAACGTACATATACACTTTTACTCTTAAATCACTACTTTAATGTGATACAGGTGATTAATTTTTATCTCGTGCAAAATACATGACATTTTTTATTAAAATTATTCACTGTTTTACAAGGATTCCAGCAACGCCGGACAGATAGGGGAGAGAGAGGGAGGGAGGGGGGGAGGGAGCGAGCGAGGGGGCGTGGGGGGAGGGGTAGTACGTTTGACAGTTGGCACAGGCCCAGGTCTAACGCTTGTATATTTATCAGTTCTTAAGTGACTAAGCTTCTCTCTTATAAAAAGCCAGTGAAATGACCTGGGTGAATATAATTAACATTGCTGGGATTCTTGTAACATACTGATTAATTTGAATATAAACATGCTATAATTTGCACTAGACAAAACAATTTTAGTACCGTAATCAAATTAGTACATGTGCACTCCAGCTTTGCATTGAGAAATCTATGTAAATCTACCCAAAAATACAGTTGAAAAACTTTTTTTTTATAAAATGTACTACAGTACTGTACACTAATGTAAAACATTTTTTATCTCTTGAGCAAAATATATGACGTTTATATTCAAATTATTGGCTATCTTGCAAGGATTCCAGCAATGCAAATTATAATCTCCTAACTTTAGTCTGAGATATTATATAAGATTAAAACTGTAAGCCTAAAAGCCTGGCTGGGGGGGACTGACGGCTCCACCACCCAGCGAGGGGTTGGGGGGGGTGGGGGGGGTGAGGTGATAAGTTTGAGGCGAAGGTCTCTGTGTGTTTATTTAACAGTCCTACTAAGCTTCTCTCATTTTAAAATGCCAGTGATATGACCTGGGTGAATAGAATTAACATAGCTGGGATTCTTATAACATACTGATTAATTTGAATATAAACATGGTATAATTTGCACTAGACAAAACAATTTTAGTACCGTAATCAAATTAGTACATGTGCACTCCAGCTTTGCACTAAGAAATCTATGTAAAGCTCCTCTACGTGTGTGTTGGTGTGGGGATTAGTGGATGACATCATTATGACCTGACCACATGTTTTTAAGGTCACCCTGTATATTTAAGCCTCTCTCTGTCCATGTAATCCAGTTGCCTCTGAAGATGTGGATTTACATGAAATAAATATAATATATATATATATATATATATATATATATATATATATATATATATATATATATATATATATATATATATATATATATATATATATATATATATATATATATATATATGCAAGTAAATCACTGTAGCTCAGGGTGAGTATGTCCACCACTGAAGATGTGAATTACACCTAAAGCGCTTTGGGAACTTCGTGTTTTCTTTCCTTGTGGTTATCAGTATATATATATATATATATATATATATATATATATATATATATATATATATATATATATATATATATATATATATATATATATATATATATATATATATATATATATATATATATATATATATTCTTGAGTTACGTGGTCAATTGAACCCGTGGAGGTCCGCGTAAAACAAGAAACGCGTAAACGAAATAACATAACATATGGGATTAATTTTAATTGAGACTGGGCCGACCCCCAAACTCCACTTTTTCCGACACAATACGTACGTTGTAGTTAAAATAGTGTCTTAATTTTATGATGGTATGCACACACATATAATATAGAAGAGAAATATCAATAAGAGAATAATATACTGTACCAGGTAAAAAAAAAATCAAGGTTTAACACTTACGTTAGTAGAAGAGATGAGTCGGCATACAGGAATGGCAGAGGGCAGATTAGTTGCCCTCTGGTGAATCACTATCACTATTCACAAAGGTTTGCAGGGCCTCCCTGGCAAACCCCTCAAAGTCCATATCGTCACTGTCACTGACTTGGGCTGGCTGTGGTTGTGGTGGGTGAAGAAGTCTGTAATACTACGTTGACGACTAGCATTGATGTTGTGATACATCTGGACATACGGCTCCATAATTTTCGACAGAAGGTTATTAGACACTTCATGCCGATGCTTGACTGTGTCTTTGTCAAGGATGAGCTCGATTTTCTCCCTCAACTTGATGACTTCCTTCACATAACCATGGCTTGGTCCAGGTCCAAGGTTTTTCTGGGTTGGTGGGGGTCCAGCGGAAGTCATCGTGAGGGGAATAGCGGGCACAAGAGAGAACTGTATACGCGGAGACTGAGAACAATGAGAGTGGCCCAGCTAGGTCAGCGACTTCTTCCCTCTGGTGGCAGGGCACGTCATGTTACATTAGACCAATCACAGCTAGCGACGGAGAGAGGTAAGGATGCGTGACCCAATCACAGTCTGATATGTCATACGGCGTCAGCGATAACGTAAGAGCGACCTAATGCGCACTCCTCCCCGCGCCGCTTCCCGCGTATAGTCAAGAATGGACCGTGGGAATAAAAATGGCACGGCGCGTCTGGACCTCTTGCACCGCTCGCCGGGTAAATGATGAAATTAACTGCGTAATTAAAATATTTCATTCTGGCAAGGTGCCGCGTAAATGACCAAACGCGTAAACATAAAAACAAAATCAGCGTAAATCGAGAATATATATACAGTTGGCCCTTAACATACGCGGGTTTATAATACACGGATTTGCAAATACGCGGATTGCCCCGCCGGAGGAATATTCTGTACATTGAAGTAATTGAAGTACATTCAAATCGCACGCCATTCAACTCGCGCGCGGCACCGAACACGGGACACCGCCCGCTCCCGCAACCTCACACACACACGCATAGCTCTCCCTCACTCAGTCAATCTCACTGTGACCACGCTTGTGTTGACATCAGCATTGTAGTTGCAAAAATATTACATTTCCGTGAATGTATTATATCAAGCACAGTATGAATAGAATATCACTAATATAAGAGTATTTTAACCGAAAAGTACTAAAAAAACCAGTAACATATCTTGAACATTGGAAGGCTTGATAAAGTCTTTTGTTTTCATGCAGTTTATCCTAATTTACATTGAAATGCATTACGTTTCAGCAAAACTACTATTTATTTCTGAGAATATGGAAATGTAATATTTTGCTGAAATGACGTACGTATTACAGTGGAAAGTGACGAAAGCAATGACTAGCTTTCTTTCGTTCAAAAGATGTTATAATCGCTTTTCGAATGGTTTTCAGTTAAAAAACTGTTGTATTACAATAATATTCTATCCTAATTCACTTGTGATGCAACAGTTTTTTTAACTGAAAACCATTCGAAAAGCGATTACGGTAACATCTTTTGAACGAAAGAAAGCGAAAGTCATTGTTTTCGTCACTTTCCACTGTAATACGTACGTCATTTCAGCAAAAATATTACATTTCCGTGAATGTAGTATATCAAGCACAGTATGAATATAATATCATTGTAATATAACAGTATTTTAACCGAAAACTATTAAAAAACGAGTAACATCTCTTGAACATTGGAAGGAGTAACATCTCTTGAACATTGGAAGGTTAGGTAAAGTCTTTTGTTTTCGTCATGTATTTTATCCTATTTTACATTGAAATACATCACGTTTCAGCAAGACTACTAATTATTTCTGAGAATATATTCATTCAGGCACAGTTTAGGTAAAATATACATGTGCTGTAACAGTTTTTTAATTGAAAACGATTCGAAAAACAAGTACCCTCTAGCCCTGTTCAAGGAGAAGACTGGGAGGAGCTGTTTGGTGCTTAAGACGATGACAAGTGGTGTCGAGTTTGATGGAGCTTCCACGAAAATATTCCTGGCATCAAGCCTGGCGCTTCGACATGGCAGGGTTACCGAAGAGTTACGCATTACTGAGCGACGGTGAGATCTGGTGGTTGCAGACTTCGCGAGGAT